CTGGCTTTAAATAACTTTGCAACACTTTAAACGTCACGCAATGATCAGTTAAATATTTTAAATTTTTGTTTATAAGGTATTTCTCCCATTTTCTTGGGGTGCCTTCGTGGTGTAGTGGTTCTGCATGCTGGGTCGGTATTCCAGAGGTCCGCGATTCGATTCCCGGCGAAGACAGTTGCTCATTTTTCCTCTCTTCGGCTTTTTCAAAAATACCTAATAGCTCTACAAGTTCAATAGTAAGTTTAATCAATTTAATGATTTGAACTCAGTCAAGTGGCAAAGGTTTAATGTCCATTTATGAATCTCATTTTAAATAACTTTTAATAATTTTTAAAGCTGTTGTTTCAGATAATTCACATTGCTTGCTTATTAGCTTTGCTCCACATTCTACAATATTGTTCTTTAAGTCTTGTGCTTTGAAAATTTATTTGAACTTTTCCTGTATTGGGCTCCAGCCCCCTGTATATTTTCTCAATGTTGTAGATGTCACTCATGCAAGTTATTTTTTTCATAAAGTATATCTTGCATAAAATATTTCGTTAAATTACCTCATACTCGTAGTTTAATTTTTTTCGTTCAAAATTATATATAAACAAAAAAAGTGCATTTCAATTTTGTGCATTTTATTTCCATTATTTCAGTTTAATATGTGTTCTATAATTATAAATTCAAGCATTTTAAACCAGTACTTTTTTTATCTTATTTATACCTATTTATTTATTTTTGAATTGAGGAAAGAAGGGAAGAGTCTAAAGAACTTTAATTGAAATTATTACAAATCTTAATTTAAGTTGTAGACACATGACAAAATCAACGTACTTAAAATTGTATCAGTATAATAAGAAAGTAAATAAATAAAATTTTGAATTAAAAAATTCAGTTTTTTTTTTTTTTTCAAATATGGAAAAAAAAATTCTATGGATTATTCCGTGTTATTTTTACTGTGACTATTTTAGAAATTAATTTTAAATTTAATAGAAAATGTTGTGTCAACTTACTCATTCTAAATCGTAATTTAGTGTATAATTATAAATTTCTATAAGTATAAATTATAATCTATAATTTTTATTGCAGTTTCGTATACTTTATATCTCCGCAATTAAATGGCATTAATTTAAATGAAAAATGCTTCTTAAGGTTAAAGATTCTAACACAAAAAAGATTCAATTGAAAAAGGGTATTTAATGAAATTTTGATTAGGCTTTAATTAAACAATATCACTAACCAACCAGGGTTATAGACAAATGCCTAATGTCTAATTATTGAAGAAAAGGCCTAAGAAAAGGAAGTATAAAATTTACCATTTTATTCCTATTTCTAATTTTGTATTTTCAAAACCTAAAATTAAGAAGAAAAAAAAAAAAAGTACATCAAATTTAATATATTTTAAGTACTTCGAAAAGATCTGGAAGCCCTTTTGAAAGCGGAGGTGAGGGTCATGTACCCGTTTGCCGCTGTGGAAATCAGACCCTGATTATAAAGTCCGCTACTTATTCGAGAAGTTATAAAACATAACTTGTGGAAAACTGAAAACTTCAAAAAACTGAAGCGATTTCTTTTTCTTGCAGTCTCATCATTGAAAATTTCGTTCATGTACCATTTAAAAAAGATGAACGTCACTAATTAATTCATTATAGTATTTGAAAAATGTAAGTGCTATATCTTACGTATACAAAAGTACGAAAAGGTCGGCCTATAAATTTATGAAAATCGAGAAATAGACGAAATGTGTATTGCACATTGAATTAATTATATGTGAGTATAAAGAAACCAGCATAAATTAAGGCAGATTTTATAATTCTACGTCAATTAACACTGCATTTCTTACACTTAGTTTAGTTCAAGTATCATTTTTCCCATGTATGATGTATGGTTATAAAAGGAAAAAGGTTAGAGTACCATTTAAAAAAGATCAGGTCGTTGAAAAGCGGGGGATGCTCTAACTTTCAAAGATAGAATTTGTTTCTCTTGCAAGATCATTTGATCTTCAGATCAGACTTTTTTTTTTTTTTTTTTTTTTTTTACACTGAAAGCGTTAATTATTGGCTTGTTAATGCAAATTAGCATTTTTGCTAAATATTAAATGATTAATGTTTTCACTTTGAACACGCGTTAATGAGTATTTCTAACTGTATTAATGGATGTTAATGATTAACTCTTCTAGTTGCGTGTTAAGTCCTCCAAAGATTTATCATTCGTTGAATTGTATCAATAATGTTTTTAATTTAATGAATTAAGTTAATGAATGACATTTCTCTGGATTAATGATGCTTTCTGTCTTAACGAACCATGCGTTTCTGGATTAATGAAATAATCCTCATTTCTCACGTAAATGTTTTTGATTGATAATTTTATATTATCTGATTTTATCTGACGTTATCTTTTCTACATTGTCTAATGTTAATTGATAACATTCTAATTGAATATACAATGATTAATATTTTCAGTTTATTAATGTTTTACTGTATCATATTACTGTTAAATGTCTTGATCTGAATCATAATAACTTAACTCAAAATTAATATTGACCTGCCATTAGGTCATCAAGATGATGTTACCCCTGATTAATAATTGATTATAGAGGCTGGACAATGAAACTGAAGCATTCTGTAGCATTCCGAATTTAAAGCCAATGTGTAAATGTAATCAATTATTAGAAGGCATTAGAATTCTGCAGAACTGTTGAACTATACAAGTAAGATTTCTTCAAAATGTGTTGCGGGCACCTTTATTAAGCAGCCTTCATTAAAGATACCCACATCTTATTGGTTACTTTTCCCCCGTTATTTATATACTGATCTTCATACCGGTATGTCCACCTTTATGTGAAGGGACATTTATGAAGACATCGATGTATTTGTTATGGAGATTGAACTTATGTTAACTGATAGTTATTAGGCTTTTAAATGGCAATTATTAGAAGGCATTCGAATTCTGCAGAACTGTTGAACTATACAAGTAAGATTTCTTCCTGCGTGAGATGATTATTATTCAGTTCAATTACAGATCCTTTCGCAGATTTTGCAAATGTGCATGAGAAGACCACAATAATGTCCTTTGCTGACAACCTGTAATTTTTCACTAGGTGTGAAGGCAATGATTAATTTAGCAATCCTGAATGGTTTCGAATTTAATCTAAAGCAGTAGGTATGAAGTTTGAATTTTAAACGATATACTGAAGGTATTAACTTCAAAATTGAAAATTATAGTGAATTAATAAGAGATATATCGGCGGTGAAAATGGTACAAATTACTGGTGCTTTTGTGGCTGGTACGCATTTACAAAATTCCTTCGCGATATATCGAGGGTTTCTATGTACAGGATCGTGTCTATGTGTTTAAAAGAGGGAAGAATCTCGTCCAGTCGGAATAAATGTCGATGTAAAGAAATTACTTCAAAAGGATGTTATACTGCTGAAAGGAATTACATCCAGAAAACCTAAAATTATGACTTTATCGAATTTTGGCTTAATCCAGTACTAACCTGGATTCAACTGATTCTACAAACACTGTTCGGAGTTTCATAGGGTTAACAATCACGCTTCGGCAGTATAAACAAAGCTTTAGATATAAACAGTCTCTAGAAAACCACCACTACCAGTTTATTTGATGTTAGGAATGCAAAACATGGTCGGTAGACAGTGTTAAAAGGAATATTGTTGCTATTGTTGTTGCACTATTTCTCCTAGTCTGAACATAATCTAGATCAGGTCCATAAATTTGTCATGACCAAGATGGAAAAAGTTAGGCCTGTTGTTGGATAAAGCCTTGAGCATCTTATGGGTGACAGTAAAAGTTTGTCCACGTTTGATGAAATCTTCCTCACTAATGAGACTTTCCACTCACCATTATTTTAAGTATCCTCATACCTTAAAGACACTCTGGGATTGGTATCTGAACCCAACGCTGTGGCAACCGGGTTTCCAACTATCATACCGAACAGGGAAATATGTCTACTGTTTTGCAATGAATTCATCTGGAGTGTATATGATCTACCCGGTCTTGTACTCCCTTGAGTGGAGCCACCCTTGAATGGAGCATAGGGTCGGTCGGTGATGAGTTGGGACACAACGATCAACAGCGCAAAGGAAATGTGCAATAAATACTATACAATGTTTTACAGTACAGTATAGACTTCCGGAAGAAGTCATTCGTATTAAAAGATTATTCCGTAATTTAACAATATGCTTTATATTGATAATTTTATTTTATTCTATTTACATCAATAAAAGTTTCGGTTTAAGTTTAGTTGAAGCGAAATAAATTATGCGTTTTGTTTTTACACAAAATAAAATTTCAATTTTAATTTTAATGCAGAATAGGAAATACTGTTTTCGGATGTATCGAAAGCAATGCATCTTGCATTACGATAATTTTGTATAGTTTAGCTTGATAATCTTTGTTGAAATAAGATGCCATAAACGAAAGAATGAAATTCGCTCTCTTGCGCTGCAATAAATATGCATTTAATGTTTGGGAAGGGAAGAAATTTACCTGGACTTTTCGAATTATCTGGATGTATTACGCTTTCCAATCTCAGTTCGAATGTTTAGACTATAAAAATAGTTTTTCTGAAAACATGCTTGGTATTTGCTTGTTACAGAGAGATTACAACTATTGTGCCTCTAGTTAGTTAGCAAATATTAATGTACCATACGGTCTCAATTTTTTGCACGATAAGGTAATTTATATGTAGTGCTTTGTTTTGTGATTTATAGCCCTTAAACTTTATCCATCAAGCATAAGTAATGGGCACCTATTAATAATGGGCATACGCTGGCTTTCATCTGGTCTCAAAGAGTGTTAATTTGCCAGTAAGTACTGATATACTTTCATATGATTTTCCTTAATTTGTAAATGCAGAAGAAATTCTTTAGGATTGTCATGCTACTAACTCATTTTAATGAGTATATCTTTCTCGAATAAGTTTTTGTTGTTCACTTAAAAAATTTCTGTATTATGCTTTGATCTGATGAATAAATCTCACCTTTTGTCGGCAGGATTAAACGGTGGCATAGGCACGCCTACTTCTTGGCGTTCTACAGACACTCCTGATGATCAATCTTTGTCTCCGACAAGTTGTACAACCCTGTCCGACCCAGACGCGGAGCTGACGTACACCATTGGGGTGACCGAGAACACCCCCTATGCGTGCCACTTCTGTGATAAAGCCTTTCCGCGGCTCAGTTACCTGAAAAGACATGAACAGGTAAGTTTATTGATGGAAATAACCATCTCTATTGAGGTTCTTCAAAAGGGAAAGGAATTCCTTTTTAACTGTTAAAAATAACGAATGTCTGTCCATTACCATATGCACCCCAAATCCTTTCGGACACGAACTGACGAGGTAAATGTAGAACTTCCTGTATCCATAATATATGGATAATATAGGATGACGCTTAATTAACTAAATGATTTAAAAGTGATAAAGTGATAAATAACATTTTTTTCTTGAAATATCATTTATATTTTGTATTTATTACAAGTCATTATTAGTCTGAAAATATTTTCATAAATACAATTTACAGAACTATTTTAAGACTGGTAACTGCCACATGTTGGCCATAGTTATACTCTACTGGACGTGTTGTATCTAGGAAACCCGTCAGAACTTTTGTCAAAATTTCGGTTCCAAACATGAATGGCTTGTCGAGTTTTGGCTTGCTGTTGTGTTATTAATGGTTTATTTGCGTACACTTTTCCTTTTAAGATGAACTAAAGAAAAAAAAAAAATATCTGCGGACATTGAATTTTGCCATCACGATGTTCTAAAAGCGGGAAATAATGCGATTACCAAAATTTTCCCTCAAGAAAGCCATTTTTAGTCGCTGTAAATGTTGAACAAATTACTAAATTGTTGGAGCACAAGGCGCTCTTCGAAATTAAAGAAGCTGAGGTATGATCATTGGGTCAAAATAAAACAGTGTTTTCGTTCTTTGCTTGATTCTCTGTTACTTCCCTATCATAAAATCTTGTGTTGGTATAAAGTCTTAAAAAGAAAAGAAAAATGATTTACCGTTTAAATCATAATTATAATAATGCTCTACTCTATAGAGAGCGCCTAGATGTTACTAATATTATTAGTAAGTAATTGAAAAAAAATATAATGCCAGCTGTTTTTCCATGTATAGAAAAAGTATTTTGCTGATGTATTTAACAGCAAAGTAAGGCAAAGTAGAATTTGAAATCTCAAAATAATGGAAATTTCAATAATAAAAAAATTTTATTGCTTTTTTTCAGTAAGTTCATATTTTTACAAGAGATTTCAAATATTTATGTTATTTACATTATTGCATTTTAAAACATTACATACTTTAGCTATGTTTATTAGCCGTAATATTTATTTCAATATACAGAGATTTAGGTTTCCAAGGAACAATAATGTAAAAAAAATTAATTGCATTCAGTGCTATCCTTATAGTGATTAAAACCGCAGTTTTGCACATGCAGATTGAAAAAGAGTTTGTGACTTTATTGCATAGAGGCATATAAATTGATATTGTTGATATTCTTTTTCGATGAAGGTTTTTACATCCATATTTGAAAATAATTGCATCGACTACTCTCTCATATTTTATATAAAAATTATTATTTATAACTTCAAGTACAAATTAATATCAGATTAAAAAATTATTTAAATAATTCCAATTGAGGTGCTGTGCCATACAGAAAATTTGCATTTGATTGATATAATTAATTTAATAATACGGTTATTTAAAAATATTTAATATAGTTATTTTATAGAACGTAATATCTCTTGCTCAAAATTAAAATCATTACTATTTCTAAATTTTCAGTAAGCATTTAATACATTACGAGCATAAAATAAGTCAATGATTATTAAGATTTATAAAATACACATTTTTCACGTCTCCTGCTTTAACAACAACAACAACAACACCCCCCCCCCAAAAAAAAAAAAAAAAAAAAAAAAAAAAACTGTAATGACTTTACAGTGGCGACCGAAATAGAAAATGGTGGACGATAGTTCGTCACCATCAAAATTTGGCGATTGTGTCCTCTAATCCAGTCCGCATGCTTTCATGGTGTAACTGGAAGCATACTCGAAGCGTATTCGAGAGATCCAGGGTTCGAGCCTCAGCGAGGGCATTTTTCACGTCTCCTGCCTAAAAAAACACATTCGTTGCACTACAATCTTAATATTTTAGTTTCTGAATAAATAATAATAATAAAAAAAGGAAATGCTTATTAACTTAATTTTAAAGCATTTTGACTTCGGTCTTTTATACTTGTATTTTAAATTAACAGTTTAACTTTATATCCATCTTAGTAAAAGGAATTGTAATTAAAAAAAATATTAGGAGGAAAAGTATTCTGAAGCTCTGAGAATGTTTTAAATGTTATAATATATTTCAAGAAAAATAACTGAAAATATTATGCTTCTTTATATGAATAATAAATGTAATCAAATTGTCCTGTAGTATTTTTATATTTTTCATGATTTTATGTCAAAATTTTTATACAAATTTTAAATTAAATTTTTTTGTAAGTAACTAAGTATGTTAAACTTAGTACCTGCCATTTTTATATAAAGCATCTGTAATTCTTAGTAAATCAATCAAAAATCCCTGTTAAACATTATAGATAATATTTAACATTTTATTTTATGATAATATATTTCTTAAAACTGAAACAAGCAGTATCTAGCTTTAAAAATGATGCTTATTTATGTTTAAAAATTGCATATTAAAAATAATGCAAAATTACCAGCTAATGTTTATATGCTCAAAAACTTTCTGTTTTAAAGCAGTGCAAAATTCCCAACTATGCTTAAAATTATCTATTTTAAAACAGCACAATATTGCCAAATGTCATAAATACAGCTGCAGATAAGTAATAACAGTAATGAATTCATGATTAATTAATAATTTATAACATCGAAATGTGTACAAAAAATAATGCTAAAAAACAGCGATCGTTTGTTGTTTATTCTAAAACATCATAATAATTTAGATACTAATTTAACAGTTTTTAGAAATTTTACGCATATATACAGGCATACAAAGAAAAGGGAGGCAGGCAAATTATATTCGAATGTTTTTTTTTTTTTTTTTTTGAATATCATCAAACTAATATTTCTTTAACTTTTTAGCTATTTTCATTATTATTATTTCATCAAGTAGTGTTTGTTTGTCGAGCAGTTAATGTATTTGCCACTACAGAAGCAATTATTATCAAAGGATGCATTATATCCTATAAAATATTTAAAGCAAATCGGAAATTGTGATAACTAAAAGAAAACTGCTAATTTAATGAAAATTGACAACTTTTTTACACAATAACTTTATGTATAAACTTCTTTTAAATATCGAAAAAAAAAAAAAAAAAACATTAGATTCGTTGTTTCACGAACAAAAATGCTTTGCGTTAATTGAAGCTACATTAGGTGACGTCAGGATATAAAATTCGAGATATGTTTTTATTTATATTGTACCTCACTATCCCTCCCCAAAAAATGCAGTTATAAAAATACATGGTAAATCTTATTCATAATATATTTATAAATGCGTATATCTACTTGCTCAATGAAAAGTTTTTATAAAACAATCAGTAGCATTCAAAAGTTGCTGTAGCTTGCTTACACACGTATTTGTAACAAAACGAATGAGCACTTTTTAAAAATAGTTTCGCAGCCTAAAAGAAGAATGCGAGATTTGGGGGGGGGGAGGATGATAGCCATATGTGTTATGGATAGTATAAAAATACTGTTTAATTGTTTTTGAGAGAAAGTGAAAAACTACACATATTATCAGATTTTACTACGGCAATAAGGCTATTCGAATGTCAGCGTAACTGTAGTAAATAATTCACGGAACAAACTTTAAAACCACGTCAAACATTGCAAGATGTGCATATTTTATATTTGCGTGGAATGCACTGAGATTCTAATTTTAATTCTAATAATAATTCTAACGTAGTTCTAATTTCATGGTAACATTAAGATGCATTAATTATAATCTATTTTAAATGTTATCAATAAAAATATTCATTTTCTTTAAATTTTCTTACTGTTTAACCGTAGTTTATCACTTTATATCCCAAACAATACGCTAACATTTCTTTCATTCATAAGAGTAGTAAAGTTAATATATTCATATCTTCTGTTGGGAAATCCTTTGGTTACTTAGTATCTCTCGAATGATTTATGACAATAAAAGTACATTAAAAAACAGCACATGTCAAAATGCCATACTGAGAGTTTCCAGCAAAGAAACTGCCTTAAAAATAGTGGCTAGTTCCTCTGTAGCCTTCACCACTCTTATTTTATTATTTATTTGTAATGTATATTATCCTCCATTTAAATGTCTGAGCTGCATATTAAAATCGGTCTTGAAAATTTAAACACATAATTGCTCACATTACATTGGGAAGGGCGACGGCATTGGCGCGCTTTCCATCTCGAGATCTTTTCTGGTGACAGGGACGTTATTTACATGGGTGGGGCGCCGCAATACGCGCATCTATCCCACGTTGGCCATGTGCTTGTTGAATGCCCACTGCGCGCTTCAGCACGAGGCAATGATGGGAAGGGGAAAAGAAAAAACGATCACGATTTCAAATCTGTGGCTCCATTTTTTGAATTCGGTCTCTTCCCTCGTGACGATTAAGGATTAACGCCATCTACAACTGCATTGGATACGTTTCTTTTTTTTTTTTTTTTTTTTTTTTTTTTATAATCTTCGTCTGATTGTGGCTTAAATCCAGTAGGAAGTTGAAGTTAGGTTTCTTTTCTTCTTGTTTTTCTTTTCCCTCTTTTCTGCTGGATGGAGCCCGTAATTGCGTTTCTTCCTTGATTGCATCCCCGAATGAAGCTGCTTAATGTGTTTCAGCTGTTGGACCTTCTATATTCAAAGTGAATAAAATTTAGAGTTATTTTGCTGTAAAGTGTATTTGCATAAAAATTAGTGGCATACAGTGTTATAGAGAGCATTCATTATCGCTTACCTGACGTATGTAAATGGAGAAGAGTATATTCGTGGTCACGAATAAGCCATGATGAACAACAAAAAAAGAGGCACAGTGTTTTTTATTTCTGAAATCAGGTTAGCAAATTTTAGCAACGCAGCTTCACATTTCGCACGAGGTAATGCCATTTTGCTACATAATATGAATACAAATAATATATTTGTCAGAACAAGATTATTTATATTAATCAATATCCAAAATATTTGATTTGTCGTTTATTCT